AATACTATTATATATTTGGCAGTGAAAAATAGATACAATCCATCTATAATTGAAAAAATGATTAAGAAGAAATTTAAGAGAAAACTTCAAACACAAGGAACTACTTCAGGAACAGAAAACAAAAAGAGAAAAGAATTTATTTGTATACCGTACAATACCAAAATTAATAAAGCCCTAAGAAAAACTTTCAACCGTTCAAATGTAATAATCAGTTATAAAACAAAAAATAATGCTTTTCAAATGATCAATAACAAAATTTCAAAAGAAAATATAGCTAACCAAAATCAAGACGATATAAGAAAATCAGGTATTTATGAAATCAAATGTTCTAATTGTGATAAATCCTACATTGGGCAAACAAGTCGAACTTTTGAAAAACGGTTCAAAGAACATATTCAAGCATTAAGACCAGGAAACCGCACAACAATGAAATCTAATTTTGCAGAACATTTAATACAAACAGACCATGAATACAAAAGCATCCACGAAAATTTAAAAATCCTTGAATATGAAAAAGACAAATCAAAATTACATGTTAAAGAAGATTTTTACATTTACAAAAACTATAAACAACACCCAGAAAATTTACTAAACACAATGAACATCAACAAATGCAATCCAATATTTGAAAAAATCCTGCAGTTAAATTAAGAGAGAAAATTATTATATATAGTATAAAGACCATTTAAAACAGAAGAAATCTAAAGTCAGTCATCAAAACCTATGAAATCATATGATTGTATTTATTACTAGCTGTGTGCCCGTTCAACGCACGGGGATCTTATTGTAGTCAGTTATTGAAACCTTTTTATTAAGAACAGAATTTGGTTTGCATATTTTCAGATATGCTGGCAAAACTATTATACAGTATATAAACCTTCGCAAATACAGTGTCTGACAGTTTCAAGCCAAAACAAATGCTTCGAAATTAAATGTAACCTGGGTCGTGTTGGTCCATATGTTAAATCCAATGATTAAACTAAAAAATGCATTATAGATCTATGAGGCATAGCCCTAATGTAGGCCTATAATTGAAAGTTACCTTCCACAATGGTTAAAATTATTTAAGGTACTACTTCAACCTCCCAATTTAACACTTTATTCGTGTTGACATTTTCATTATAAAGGTACTTTTGTCCTTTCCGTGAAACACTGAGAAATAAGGACATTAATGCTTTACTAACAGACATACACACAAAAATACAGAACTTAATTAGGGGGTTTGCTACGCTTTAAGCATAACAAAGTACTTGTAAAATTAGTATCTAAAATATTTTGTTAATGTCATCAAATTTCATCATAACAATGTATATTTGGACCGATGATGACCCGAAATGACGGCTTACTATATGAAATGAAGACGACTGGTCCAGCCACCCTGGTATTGACGATTGGTAATTTATAGTAAATATTACCAAAATAGGCCACGAACTATTGATACATAAACAACGTAAAGCGTTTTTAAAACAATTCATTATGGTTAGCTGAATAAATGTTTTACTAAAGTGCGTTATCGTTTTCTTAGCATAAACTAACATTTTGGAATCAAGAAAGAAAAAGCAAAAATTGTACAGTTAAGACATCAATTAAATTGAATACGCCTGTAATAATAAATAAGGTGCAACACCAACGATAACTAATTTGTAAAGTACAGTGATGTGTTGGTACTTAAAAATGATTCTTGCTACTACCAACAGTACCAACGGTTCTAAGGAATAGAACCGGTACTAAAAACCAACGTTCACAGTTGAGAACTATAGTACAGCCGACCAATTATATGAGTTAATCAAGTCCCGAGGTTATTGATCTCTTGGTTTTTGATTTTCTCGTAAAACGTTTTAAAACGGCAATCAAAGTTATTTCCCAATAATTGCTTTATTTGTAAACAACTTTTAATGTAAACTTATCGGTGTCAGTTTAAAAAAAAAAACAACCTCATACAAACAACTTTTTGTTATTTAATAGATTAGGCCCCACGTACCTATTCTCTAAACAATGATTGGTAAAGGCTATCTAATAACACTAGAAGGAAATGTGACAAAAATCACACAACGTTGGGTTTTTGGACGTTTGTAATTTTATTTCTTAAGTAGGTAGGCCGTGTATTCTAGGGAAAAGTACCGGTATCAAGGATCGTCGTCGAACAGTTTGTTATGAATAATTGGGTAGGCGTACGTACCCAAGAGCATGGCTGTATGGTCCAGCGATTGCATCACACGGTGAGTAGGTAGGTACTATTGACTATATATATATATAGTCAATGGTAGGAACAGAAAATAACACATTAGAAAAGCGAGTTTAGCATCATCCGTAAACATCTGTTACAATCAACCACTGCAGTTGTGATTTTTTACTTACCACTTTACACAACCGCCATTGAAGCGCCGTGTCAATGAGTGGAAACCATATTTCTAAGCCATTGGCGACGATCATTATTAAATTTAAAGTTTCCCAGCCGTATACAACACTGATTCAAGGTCTTCTTTCTGGTTATCAAAACTCAAGAACAATTTATACACAAAGAATCTCTGGTTCCTGAACTGGATGATGCCTAGTTATTTAATTTCATTTACACGGTTACACTATTACACTATATTATTGCACTTTCGATTAATTAAATCCGTTATGTAAGAAAAACGTTTTTAATCACTTGGGATTTACATTCAAAACGTGATTGAAAAAGGTTGCGGTATTTGTAAACAACATTTGTAAACATATCAGTGACAGCTAGGAAAAATAATCTTGATCCGAACAGCTGTTCGTTATTATGCATGATGATTATGCAATAAAAATTGGACGAAAACTTGACATAAATCGCACAAAACTACATTTTTGAACGTTCGTAATATTATTTACAAAGTAGTGAGGCCATATTTTAATGGCTAAAGACAATCTCGCCAATCCAGTGAATACATTAAAATGACTTGGATCTTGATAGGTACTCTCGTTTTCCAGGAGAAGATAGCGTAAAATGCCATCTTGAGTGTTACAGACAAAGGGAAAGACAGACAGACAGACAGAAATTGAGATAAGACTCGTTTCTGCTTATTTAATGTATAAGACGTAAAAATAACCTAAAAATATATAATTCTGAGCAATGTACAGACAAAACTCTAATTTTATTTATATAGATTTAGATAAAATGTTTATTGTATTTGTTAGATATAAAAACAACATGACTATGACATAATCGTCGAAACTAGTCGTTGTTAAATAAAATGAATTAAAAAAGGGTACTTAGTTTTAATAATGCATTTATATATATTTATATATATATATATATTTATATATATATATGTGTCCGTCAGCACGATAACTCGAGCAAAAATGATCCGATTTTGATGAAATTTGGTACAAACGTGTAAACGTACGTTTATTCGAACGAGTTCGCGATCCAGCATGATCGGACCATGGGAACGGGGGGGGGGGGGGGGTTTTATGGGGTAAAAATAGGTTTTCCCATTTTTGACCCAAAAAACATAAAATTTTGCAATTTCTTTCCAAACCATATTGTAGAGCTTAAAAAAACAAATAATTTAGTATATTGAAGCGTTACTATGCGCCTAATGGTTACGGAGAAAATTCCAAAAAATTTTAAATTTAAAATTCCCATGTTATTCTTATGGAGAATAAGTAAACTGTTGTAGTTTGCTTGTTTGTGAACATATTTTGATCAAAATTGGAAAATGTTTTTATTTCTTACTAACTATTCACATTTTACAAAAAAAAAAAAAAAAAAAAAAAAACAGTTTTACCCTCCCTGATGCAGCAAACCTAAGTACTTGTTAAACTAATTCTATTTAAATCAAGAATAAATGTTATATTTTTAAGTAGATATTTCAGTGTAAATCCAATCAGTCAAATGGAAATTCGCTTAGTCTTTAGGTTTGCTGTGGCGGGGGATTTTTAGCCCATTTTAACATTGTGCATTTACAAACTAAGTCCATAACCTCAAAATAGTGCTAGATAAAGATAAGTATACACTACCAGTAATTGTCGACCTATTTTTACTTGGTTATGACTGATGTATTTTTTTCGACCGCCATCTTGGATCCGCCATTTTGAAATGTGATAAATCATTTTAAATATGAAGGGGATGTTGTGACCCATCATTTTGAACTACTTTTTTAAGTTAAACTCAATGCCGCAATCCATTTTTTGTTATCAAGTTTTATTTATGAAATATTGAATTTTTTTTGTTAAAAATGTCAATATTTCAAATTAAAAAAATTAAAATGAAAAACGGATCATGAAATTTTCAGCTTAAAAAAGTAATTCGAAATGACGGGTCACAATACCCCCTTCATATTTAAAATAATTTATCACATTTCAAAATGGCGGATCCAAGATGGCAGTCGAAAAAAAACATCAGTCATAACCAAGTGAAAATAGGTCGACAATTACTGGTAGTGTATACTTATCTTTATCTAGCACTATTTTGAGGTTATGGACTTAGTTTGTAAATGCACAATGTTAAAATGGGCTAAAAATAAAGTTTTAAAAAGCCCTCATAACTTAAAATGGATCAAGATTTTTAAAAACGGTTTGCGGCATTGTAATCAGGGTAAAAATGTAGTTCGAAATAATGGGTCACAACCCCACCTTTACATTTGAAAAAAAAATTTTACATCCAATATGGCGGATCCAAGATGGCGGCCGGAAATGACCACCTTGTCAAAATGAAGTACTTACTACCCAACAATGTTTGGAAGTGGTCTGGGATTGATATTTGAAAAAATGTAGAAAAAAGTTGGGGGGGGGGACAATTAAAACTCACCCTGTATATGTCCGTTAGCGCAATAACTCAATCAAAAATTATCTGAATTTGATGACATTTGGTACAAACTTGTAAACATACATGTATGGGAACAGGGGTTTATTGGGGTAAAAATTGGGTTTCCCCATTTTTTACACTAAAAACACAAAATTTCACAATTTATTTCCAAACCGTTTCGTAGAACTTAAAAAGAAATAATTTTGTATATTAAAGCGTTGTTGTATGCCTAACGGTAACAGAGACAATTCTGAAAAATTTTTAAATTATAAATGTCCATGTTATTCTCATGGAGAATTAAAAATAAACTTATGTAGTAAAATCTTTAATTCAAATTTGGCGATTTTTTGAATTTCATACTAAGCTATCAACATTTTAATAATAAAAAAAAAAAAACACAACTCATCTTCCCCTTTGCGGCAAACCCAAGTACTCACTAAAATTAATGTTATTTAAATAGGAAATAAATCTGACAATTTTTTGGGAATATTTTGGTAGAAATCCAGCTGGGTAAATGAAAATTCCCTTAGTCTGCAGGTTTGCTGCGGCGGGGATATTTAACTATGCTACAAGTATAAAACGTTATGAGACAATAAAGAAATATTTATTTATATATTGCCTATGGTTGTAAAGGATTTTCCACATGTAGTACACTTATAAGGTCTCTCTCCTGTATGAACCAATGAATGTCTCTCCATTTTGCCTTGGTTTTAAAGGATTTTCCAAATGTAGAGCAATTAAGGCCTGTTCCCTGTATGAACCAATGAATGTCTCTTCATATCGCTTTTTCTTGTAAAAGATTTTTCACATGTAGAGCACTTGTATGGCCTCTCTCCTGTATGAACAAAAAAATGTCTCTTCATATGTCCTTTCCTTGTAAAGGATTTTTCACATGTAGAACACTTGTAAGGTCTCTCTCCTGTATGAATCAATAAATGATTCTTCATTTCACCTTTGGATGAAAAGGATTTTTCACATGTAGAGCACTTGTAAGGTTTCTCTCCTGTATGAACTAATGTATGTTTCTTCAAACAAGTGTCAACAGCAAAGGACTTTCCACAAATAGAGCACTTATAAGGTCCCTCTTCCGTATGAACCAATGTATGTATCTTCAAATCCCTTTTGGTTGTAAAGGATTTTTCACATCTAGAGCACTTGTAAGGTCTCTCTCCTGTATGAAGCAATGAATGTATAACAATTTCACCTCGGGTTGTAAAGGATTTTCCACATGTAGAACACTTGTAAGGTCTCTCTCCTGTATGAAGCAATGCATGTGTTTTCATATTGCCTTTGGTTGTAAATGATTTCCCACATGTAGAGCACTTGTAAGGTCTCTCTTTGGCATGAACCAATGAATGTGTCTGCAATATGCTTTTCGTTTTAAAAGACTTTTTACATGTATTACACTTGTAAGCCCTCTCTTCTGTATGAATCAATGAATGTGTCTTCAAATGGTTTTTTGATGCAAAATATTTCTCACATGACGTGCACTTGTAAGGTTTCTCTTCTGTATGAAATAATAAATAATGATTCTTCATATAGCTTTTGAATGCAAAGGATTTTCCACATGAAGTGCACTTGTAAGGCCTCTCTCCTGTATGAACCAATGTATGACTAATAATTTCGCTTTTGGTTTTAAATGATTTTTTACATGTAGAGCACTTGTAAGGTCTCTCTCCTGTATGAAGCAATGTATGTCTAATAATTTCGCTTTTGGTTCTAAAGGATTTTTCACATGCAGAGCACTTGTAAGGTCTCTCTCCTGTATGAACTAATAAATGCGTCTTCATACTGCTTTTGGTTGTAAAGGATTTTTTACATGTTGTACACTTATGACGTTCTCCAAAATGTATCAACAAATGTGTTTTTACAAGGTGTTGTTGGAAAAAGGTTTTTCCACATGCCAAACATTTAAAGGGACGCTCTCCTGTGTGATATAATATATGAAGCTTCAGTGCGGATCGAGTTGAACAACTTTGCTCACATATTGGACACTTGAGAGAAAAATCTTTAGAGCAAGGTAACATTTCTATTCTTGCACTTTTTATCCCTTTGAAAATTATCACATAAGCTAGTAAGTAGTTAGAAAATTCACCTATCAAAGTGATTTGTATGTATATAAATAGTAACTCAAATTTTGCTATGCATATTAGTTATTTTACAATATACTACAGGGATTTCCCTTTTTTTCTTGTCTTTCCTTTTTGAATTATATTATTTCTTGAATCAATATAATCTGTTGTTTTGCTTTTTTTACTGATTTAACCTGCAACAAAAATATTTATTGTATTTCAAATTCTAGTTCAACAAAATAAATTGCTGAATTTAATTTTTGTAGGTGAAACATAGCATTTAAAGTGGTTCTTCAAAGTATTACATCAGGGGGTTATCTCAATTAGTTCTCTCGTGATTAAATAAGATTCTCCTTTTTTATATCTGAAACTGAACTCATCTGTCTTCACCTCTGAAAAAGATCATACCTTATTAAAATATGTATATAAATCTGTTCACATGGGTTAAAACAATCTATTTACAATATTATAATGATTCCACAAGCTAGAGAATATCATAATGAACCAAAATCAGGTCTTTGCTGTTATGCTCAATATTGAAAATAATATCCTACTAGCCTAATCAATACAATAACCTCAAATCTGAACTAGGCTTAATCCAAACCGAATATTGCTGAGAAAACTTTGCTTTATTTAAAATAAAAGTAAGTAATGTGAGGTTATAAATTTTTGTTCAGGGTGGAATATTTGTACTTGTAACCTTTAAAAAATCATATACCGGTATGTGTTAGTTTTGTTTTGAAATTTTGATAAACAATTTAAATAAATCCAAGGAAAGAAGAAAGTGGCCTCCACGCTAAAAACACTTTGGCGGCAAAATTTCAGTCTGACTTCTCTGTAAGTCAGTCTCCTCCATTCATAATATTATGTTTGTATTCATTGCCAACATTCAAGAATTATGTTGGACAAGCATTATTTATAGTGTATTGTATTTAAAATTGAATGCAAAATTCTTATTGATTAACCACATGCACAGCCACCTTTAACTACAGGCCGCAGCCTGGTAGAATTGGCATCGTCGCAAGTAGGGTTGTTTACTGTCAGACGTACCATAAGATTAAAAGGCAGACAGGTGACGTTAGCTCATCAATTTGCACTTTATTGATTAAAATTGAAATTCATAAACAAAAACTTATTTTAATATTGAAAATAAAACACACAGAATTAAAAACAATAAACATTATGAAATTGAAAATCTATATCTGTACATTTAAAGCAGAGTCAATATTTCATAGTCCAGTAACAAAGCTTTCCTAAATACACAAATACCATCAGCTACTTCCAAACAAAACAGCTGTTACAACCCTACTTGCAACGTTGCAATTTAATCTTCATATAAACATAATTAATGGTACAATTAATAGCATACATCCTACTAATATTATAAATCAGAAAGTTTGGATGGATGTTTGTGACAAGTGAACGCGAAAAATACTGGTCGGATTGGGCTGAAATTTGGCATGATGATAGCTCACATTCCCGATTAACATATAGGCATATTCTTATTTCAAAAATCCTTTCGGGCTCCGCCCCAGTGGCTTTGGAGTTTCCCATGTTAACCTTATGAGAAATGGAATTATTGAATCTTAACAGCTGTTTCAATTAAACAAGTTGGTTCTGTTCTATGATGTTCATTAGCATTAAAGTTACAAGGATTACCAACAGGGTGCAGCACTATTATTTATTTTACATTTATGACAACAGCTAATTTGCAACCACAAGGTGAGTGAGCGTAGCGAACGAACTTCAACCTGGAGGCGAGTTAGCGTAGCGAACGAGCTAACCTGAAGGCAAGTGAGCGCAGCGAACGAGCTCAAACCTAAAGGTGAGTGAGCGTAGCGAACGAGCTCCAACCTAAAGGTGAGTGAGCGTAGCGAACAAACTTCAACCAGGATGTGATTGAGCCATGCGGACGAATTAATCTTGAAAATTAAGAAGTTAAACGGGGCAAAGCCCGCGGGTTACAGCTAGTTTATACATAGAACAATTAAATAGCAGACTAAACATACCATTTTTCCTTAACTATTTAAAATGATATTATTATTATTCAAAACGGACAAGTGGACATTTCTATTTTACATATCACAGAGTTTTATTTTTAATTTTAATTGTTTAGCCTATAAAATATGTACTAAACATGAGTCAAACGAAAAGTACATTTAATACTGGGGACAAAGTATTTGCAAAAATAAAAGGTCATCCACATTGGCCAGCTACTGTAACAGCAATAGATTCATCTAAGAAAATAATTAAATATACCGTTCAATTTTATGGCACTAATGAGATTGGTGTGGTAAAGGATGTTGATATTTGTGCTTATAAAGAGAATAAATCCCTTTATGGAAAATCAAAGGTAAAAAATGTGAAATTTAACACAGCGATCAGAGAAGCTGACAAAAGTTTCAACTCTAGCTTTAAATCCTTAAATGATGATAAGCAGGAATCCAGCAATATTAGTTGTACTCTGAACAACAATTTGACAATCTCTGATGAACCATCGGCAATTAGTAGCCCACTCTCAAGCCCATTAACCATAACATATTGCACAGACACGAATTCTACAAATACGGAAACACAAATTTTATGTAGTAAAGCTGACTTGAGAAAATATGAAAATATTGTCAGCATCCTTGGTCCCAATTGGATCACAGATAACACAATCTAGAAATATAACGAAGTGTTGAATAATAACTTTTTAAATGGCAAGGGGATTATATGCTTAGATCCTACTATTTGTCAAGCAATAAAACTACTACAAGACTATAATTTTATACTTAATAGTTTAAATGTAAAGGCAGCAAGGTATTTATTTTTGCCTGTTAACGACAGCGATGATCTTCAAGCAGTGGAATCTGTTATCAATCTAGACAATGAAGTTAAGGGAGTAGGTTCTCATTGGGGTTTGCTGGTGTATGATTCATCGCAAGCAACATTTTTTCACTATGACTCCTTAAAACAGTATAATATTGGACCAGCTAAAAAACTTGCTGAAAAAATGTTCTACTTCTTAAACGAGGACAAACTTGGAGTTTCAAACTTTACCTCTGTTACTCATTCACCACAGCAGGAGAATACTTATGACTGTGGAGTTTTCACTATTGCTGTCACTGAAATAATTTTGACCTACATACTACAACAACCCTCAAACACCAATATCTCTTTGGAAAATCTTATCTTCCCTCCTTTGAATGAAGCTGCAATTCTAACTAAAAGGACACAGATTGCTTATTTTGTTCTGAACAATGGCTCTGTAAATACTCACCTTTTAAGATCATTGATGCTGCATCCAGATGAAGTTGAAAATGCGACAAGAATCGGACATGACAACCAAACGGGACGGAACACAGCAACAATGGAGCAAACAAATAGAATTAACATAATAAATAACTGTCATCAACCACCTACAGTCTAACAAGCAATAAATACCAGGAATCCAATTCTGTTTTCACTGAAGAAATCTCAAAAGAAGCTAAAAACCAAGACCCAACTTCAACTAATCTTAAATCAAACATTCCGAGGAAAAGGCTTGTAATTTTAGCTGATAGTCATGGGAAAAATTTAAGTTCTTTAATAGAACCAAGAACAAATGTCAATGTTTGTTCATATGTAAGGCCTGGGGCAAAGTTTGATAGAGTCACAGAAGAAATAAAAAGTTTAAGCAAAGATTTGGGTAAAGAGGATCACCTTTTAGTACTAGCAGGAACTAACAACATAGAAACCACCGGAATAAAACGACTCACTGAAGATGTAAAAAACTTATAAAAAACTCAAAGCACACAAATCTAATTATTGCAACCATACCAATGAGGCACGACAATCCTAACCTAGACTATAAAATATCCAGAGTAAATACTGCAATCGAGGATATAGTTAAAGAGCAGGAAGATACAACTTTACTCTCCTTGCACTTGCTACCACGTCATCTGTTTACGAGACATGGCCTGCATTTTAACAAGAGAGGAAAAGTCACCATAGCTAAGACTGTTGCACAGATGATACTGAAGGGTAATACTGCTAAGAATAAATCAGAGATCACACTTAATGATTGCCTTCAGACTATAAATATTGTAGAGGGAAATATGAACGCCATGCTCAAGAAGTGGAGGAATAAGCAGTCTCTAGCATTTGCCCATTCAATATCTGCGGACTTTGAAGACCCTAAACACATGTCAGCAGGTGTGGCAGTGGTGTTCAAGAACAACATTGGAAGTCCTAAAAACGATGATTTGATTTGCAGTAATTTAACATGCCAACAGGTACAAAATGGTGCTTTGGTGTATAGTATTGTGACCAAAGCTAAATATCACGAAAAACCAACACAAGAAAACTATGACAAGGCTTTTGATCAACTTATCAACGACTTTCAAAACAGAGGCCTAAAAACTTTGATCTGTTCCCCAATGGGGTGCGTTAGAGACTTTATACAGCCTGAGCACTTTATTAATAAGATTATTAGTTTTCAATCTGTCACTGGCGCCACAGTCTACATAGTTTTAGATGAAAAAGAAACCAAAAGAATGTCAAAGATAAGCGGTGGTCTTCATAAAAAGCTAACAGAACTTCTCACAAACCATAGTAGACACTCTAAATCCCTACAAGAAAAATCTCCAGCCCTACATACCATTGAACCACCAAGGAACACATCTGTTACATCCACACCTAAGAGTTTCACAAGACATGCTACAGACACCATAGCTCCAACACCATCACCTACCAATTGCCTCTCTGGAGACTACAGAGACCAATATTCATACTCCCCCGGCTCAGCAGCAACTACAGTTCAACATGACAGACGAAAAAGCCCCTGATAGTGTCCAGTGTGTCTCAAGTGAAGTGCTAAAGCAGAGTAATTGTGCCAAGGATGTGAGTAATATAAGAGATCTAGATAAGCTAACTGATAAAGTCATTTCCCAGATGTGTAGTGTTGATCTCAGTACCAATGCATCATTTGTTTCTGTAGATCCAAGTAGGTCTAATAATAGTGTTTAGCCTTAATAAGACTGCCAAGCTAAAACCACTAAAAAACCCATCAGTTGTAAATGCGGATACTACTTTCTTCTTTCTAAATATCCAGGGCTTAAAAAATAAAATATCAATTTTAGAGTCATTTTTACTCAGTAATAATATTTCTGCTATCGGTCTAACTGAACATTGGTTAAGAACAGAAGAAGTTGCCTTGGCATATCCTGATGGT